TGTCTCTAATTTCATAACCGCTATCTTCTTTTCCCTTTGTTTAATGAATAATCATTCTAAAAAGTAAATAAATTACACTTTTGAAAACCTCCACTAGTGACACTAGTAATGTCTGACCTGTAGAGTTTAATACTTGAGAGTGGGTTTAAATATATAATGACATAAATGACTGAGACTCACCAAACACAGTGTGATGTTGCCATTAGCTGGTGTTGTGACATTCAAATGCTTTTTTTGTGATTAGTGGTCAATTGTATATGCAAGGCTCAAGCCTTGTCCTAGACTAAAATGTTAATTTGACCTGTCTTAACTCAAAGTAACTTGCAGAGACCTATCTGAAAAACAATCATAGATTTAGTCTGATTAAAACTACACCCACGACAATAGCACAGCCACTCCAGCACTAAATTGAGGCTGAAATTATTCCTTTAAGAAGGCAGGTTTAACTTTTGCTCAGCAGTGTTAGTAAGGGAGAGATTCACAATTCCAGCAGCTTACAAAGATGGGAACATAGGGGCATGCAGGGTTCTGATGATGGACAGGAGCCTGTTCAGCATCTGTCGCTCTGCCACAGATGTCAGACTGTCCAGCTCTGTGCCAACGACAGAGCCTGCCTTCCTCACCAGTTTGTCCAGGCGTGCAGCATCTTTCTTGAGGCCGCACAGGATGGCACTCGCTACCACAGACTGGTAGAAGATCTTTAACATCATCTTGCAGATGTTGAGGGACGCCAGTCTTCTGAGGAAGTACCGACAGCTCTGTCCTTTCCTGCACAGAGCCTCTGTGTTGGCAGTCCAATTCAGTTTGTCATCCAGCTGCACTCCCAGGTATTTGTAGGTGTTTACCACCTCTACACAGTCTCCTTTGATGTGAACAGGCTCAAGGTGCAGCCTGGTTCGCCTAAAGTCCACCACCATCTCCTTAGTCTTGGTGGTGTTGAGCAGCAGGTGGTTGAAGTCGCACCATGTGATGAAGTCTTGTATCAGTTCTCTGTACTCTTCCTTCTGTCCACTCCTGATACAAGCTACGATGGCTGTGTCGTCCGCGAACTTCTGTACATGGCAGAGCACTGAGTTGTATTGAAAGTCGGACGTGTACAGGGTGAACAGGACCGGAGACAGCACAGTTCCCTGCATTGCTCTAGTGCTACTGGCCACAGTGTCGGACCTGCAGTCCCCCAGTCGTACAAACTGAGGTCTGCCAGTCAGGTAGTCCGTTACCGACGCCACCAGGTGTGATCCGACACCCATCTCCATCAGTTTGTTCTTTAGGATCAGAGGCTGGATGGTGTTAAAGGTGCTGGAGAAGTCCAAAAATGTAATCCTCACAGCACCCCTGCCTCTGTCCAGGTGAGAGAGAGATCAGTGAAGCAAGAAGATGATGGCATCCTCTACTCCCACCTTGGGGATCCATCAGGATCGTTATCAGGCTTCTGCAAAGCTTGATGATGAGCTGATCATTTGAATCAGGTGTGTTGGAAGAGTTAAACATCTAAAACATGCAGGACTGTGGCCCTCCAGGACCAGGATTGCCCACCCCTGGTCTAATAGGAAAAAAAATGGGCCCAAACACAAAAGATACATCCAGTTCAAAGTGAAAAATCCTGTGTCCCTGGACACACAATCAATAGATCAAGTTTTGTGACTATTTCACAAACTTCTGTGAGACTGGGTTGTCCCCTATCAAAGTCCAAATACAGGCATGTCAGGATAATTGATGAAGACGAACGAAAAGCAGTCAAAAAAGATTAGGACTTGGTAAACAAGAGTTTTCTGACTTTCTGAGGTTTTGCCACAATGCCACCACCTCACCACGGAGCCTAAAAAAATTCACTCTTCTCTACTTTTTTCCTTTTTGGACACTAATTCCAGCACACCTCTCTTCTGCTGCTCACGGTACTTATCTCCTCTTTGCATTGCTCCCTCTTCCTCTCTCTTTCTCCTTTCAAATCACCGTTTTTTTCAGAGCATCTATAAAATATTTACAATGTGTGGGCAGACTTCTTTCTCTGGGAATTTAGAGGGAGGTGCGATCATTTTGAAAGCCAGTGGTAAAAGGAATGAAGGAGCAGGAGAGAGGGGCAAAGCAAAGGGAGAGAGAGAGAGGCAGATGAGAGCCAAGAAAGTCCTCCCAAAGTTGTTGTGTGAATACCAACACTTTTCTTTGAAGCAAATATATAAACACCACGTTTTCCCCTCGCAGTGTATTGACTGTGAGTGTATTCTTATAATTTTTCAATTTATTTTTCAGCTCTGCTTTTCCTTTTTTTATACTGGCTCACTGGCTAAGATTGGCATCTAAATTAAAGAAAGCCCTTAGGACTGATCCTGTGTAAGCTCTGCTGATAATTAGAGCTTCAACAAAAACTTAAATTCCAAAGCTGTAAAAAAATAAAAAAGCAAGACAGTAGCATCTCCCTATTGCTGAAACCAAAGCTTGCATAGCTGAACAGAGCACAAAACATCCCTCACTGGTTTTGAAAAGCTCCCACTAAACAATTGATTTACTGCTTTTTAAAGAGTCAGACTGAAGCAAACTTTCCTCCCAATACACCAGTAGTCAGTTCGGTAATAGTGTTCTAGAACTACAGGTTTAAAAAGATTCCACAGCATAGCAGGAATTCTTTTCAATCGTCTGATGCAAGATTTGATGGTTGAAATTGCTTGTTTTGGCAGCTCCTGCCAACTTTCATTTGTGTACGGAAACACATCTATAGCTATATGGTTGTTTTAGGGGTAAACACATATTATTGCAAACACTACCCATGTGAATATATTACTAGAGCAATGAACCGAAGAGTCTCGATATCAGCAGTAGGGACCTCCTCCTCCATCTAGTAATTGTCTGTGCTACGTATTCTTGTGTTTCATATTTACAACAAATATTGCATATCTGTATATATTTGTTCTTCCCATAATGTTTTTGAATGGATGAATAGACTCGTTATTTCGAATACGAAGCTGCCCTGTTATGTATTCCGTGTGTGAAAAGGGCTGCATGCTTGTTTATTTCACATGCATTCCTTTAAATTTGATTAGTAATGAATGACAACAAACCATTTTCCAGTTTTGTAAGATTTGCCTGGGCTGTTGTGAAAGTTGTCAGTCAGACTGTGGTGCGCTGATCAAGTCCCAGTTGGACTCTGATGTGGTTTAATTATAGTGGAGAAGTAAAGTCGATCAACCAGAGAATTGTTTGAAAGTGAAAATGAGCTCAAAAAACAATCTCCTGATTTACATAATCAATGCAAATATGCAGGCAAGATAATGTGGTAACCACAGTAACACCGCTGCTGGTTAGTACTTGAATGCAGGATTTTTTTCCTAATGCATCAGAGGGTGAAAAGAGCTTCAAAAAGTGACTCACTGCACTGTGTTTGTATCCACACTGTATATTTAAGAAGTTTCTTTTCACAAAAGCAGGTAAAATGTAGCTACTGCACTAACATTACAGTACCTGTTCCACTTTTTTGTTTCTGTTATTACAGTAGAATCCATTGATATTGCAGCACGACAGTCACCAAAACTGTTCAATGTGGAGGTGAACTGTCAGGTCATGTGACTTCATGTTTACGCATTTTAGTTTGTAATAAGTCAGTAACACACCAGTTCATGATTTTTTATTTGTTTAATCATGTAATGTCAGTTATAGGTAGGAAAGAGGCTTCAGAAAATGCATTGGAATTCCATTTATAGCATTTGTGGCACAATAAAATATGTCACACATTTTCTACAGTCGGCTGCAAGGTGGTTCGGTGGTTAGTACCGTCACCACGCAGCTAGAAGATCCCCAGTTCGCATCCCGGTTAGGACATCCGGGATCTTTCTGCGTGAAGTTTGCATGTTCTCCCCGTGCAGCGTGGGTTCCCTCCGGGTTCTCCAGCTTCTCCCACAGTCCAAACACATGTTGAGGTCAATTGGTGATTCTAAATGTCCATAGGTGTGAATGTGAGTGTGCTTGGTTGTCTGTCACTAAGTGTGGCCCTGTGATAGACTGGTGACCTGCCAATGGTGTCCCCTGCCTTCACCCTGAGTCGGCTGGGATAGGCTCCAGCCCCCCCTGCGACCCTAGTGAGGATTAAGCGGTGTATAGATAATGTATAGATAATGGATGGATTTTCTAAAGGGAATCTTTCTGTGCTGGTGTGTAATCAGCTGTGCTCCTCTTTTTCTTCAGGTAGGAGGAACGATGTACAACACCGGCCGCCATGTATCTCTGCGACTGGATAAGGAACATCTGGTTAACATCTCTGGAGGGCCAATGACATACAGCCATCGTCTCGAGGAGATCAGGCTACATTTTGGCAGTGAGGACGGCCAGGGCTCCGAACACCTGCTAAATGGACAGGCCTTCTCTGGAGAGGTGTGTGTGTGTGTGTGTGAGTGTGTGTGTGTGTGCTGGGTTTCTATACTAATATAACTTTAAACACTAATATAACAGAAATTAATTCTGTCAACTACCATTATATGAACATCAGAAGTTGGGCAAACATTTATCTGGTTTGTCACCGTTGCAACTGATTAAAATATTGCCAGTTATTGTCATTGGGCACTACACACTTATTTTTCCCAAATCATATAGTATCATGGTCCTGATATTACCAGATTCGATTCAAACAGTCATACACAATGATTAAAAGATATCTCTACTGCCAGCATATTGTGGTAAGATAATTGAAAAAGTGTATGTATTTTTCTTTAATGCAAAGGCAAATATCAAAAATCTGCAAGTACTATCATATCAAATAATAGAAAATGTGGATAGATTTGACTAGTCTGAAAAACACAAGCTACAGCATGTGTGGCTAGTCCTTATTATGATCAAGATAACAGCTTCAAAGTAAAGGCAGCCTCCTAAAATGCACCTTGAGCTCATAGGATTAAACTGTTGCATAAGATGAGGGAGCGACCAGATGACAAAATTGACAAAAAGCGTGAGTCAAACCTCAATAGTCAAATGTAGAAAACATGATGGAGGGCCACAGTTTTCTCATTACTCCACATAGATCTGACAAATTTTAATCTATTATATGTTTCACCAGTGTCATGATCTCTGGTATTGAATGGTGTCAGCTACAAAAATCAGAGTATCCAGGAGAAGGCTTTGTCAGTGTTGGACTTGAGCGTGTGCTCATATGGCCATTTTCTGGTGGCAGTATGTACCAATGCTGACCCAACAGAACTCGTAGAAAGATTTAGCCATTCAGCTTTAACCATGTGTCATTAGAGCAGCCAGGCGTTCTGTACTCCCTTCATTTTGCTTACGGCCATCTGATTGTCAAGTAATTAAAGTCACATCATCCGTTATCATAACTGATCAACTCATTAGAACCTTCACACGGAGATCCATTGACGGCTACCCATTGCTTGTTACAGGAGTTGGTTGTGTTTTAGAATCTTTGTCCTTGCTCCATGATGGTTAAATTAAAACTAGTTCCAGAGAGCATTTAAAACAGTAGCTCCTTACATGAGCTAATCTGGAAGACAAGGATATTCTTCCAAGAAACCATGAGTGCAATCCAGTACCCATAATACCACACTACACACTATGCCATAGAAAGATGTAGTATATCCCAATGCATAGGATGTCAAATGCAGTACCATGAAGTCTTAATATATTCAGCTGCATTTTACAGTCAGCCAGTATGCTTTTACTGTACTGACCCACAGTCTCATCACAGTAAGGCATCCGTCACATGCATCATGGTGCCTTCTCTGTTCATAAGTACTAAATTTCATTATCTCCCCCAGTCAGTGAGAGTCCACACCATCTCCCCTGCACACGTCCACGTCCAGCCCACTACCTAACAAAGACAAATTGTGCACTGCTCAGCAGCTGTGTGCTTGTGTGAAATATGTAGATATGACCTCCCACACATGTATGCACCAGGGTCTACAAAAGAGTTGTATAAGGGCAATTTCATGTCTGTGCTGTCACAATTCTAGGCTTGGAATTTGTTCATTTTACAGTTAAAACTGCAGGTCAGAAATGATTAGTTCAAGGACAGCTGAAAAATCTGAAAATTCTCTCTGTTTTTTGCAGTTTCTGGATAAGAAATGGAGTCATTTAATACATTTGACTTAATGAAATGAATTTAATAGTTTGACCTGGGAAACTGTTAAATATTTTTGTCTAAAAAAAAGTCTCCATTGTGAGTAGCTTTGAATTTAGTCTTGTTATTATGGTTGTTCATATTACTAATTGTTTATTATATGGATTTTGCAACGGTTTTTCCACCCCTCCAGTCTGAATCTACAGAGTTACACATGCCGCTCTAAATTAGATTCATATGATGCCTGCGATTTGCATCAGTGACTTCTACAGGAACAAACTTGTCTCGAGATGACACTTAAGCATTTAGGCATCCACACGCGCACAAACACACTCACTCCAGAACGCACTCGAACACACGATTTTGCACTCTGACATTTAAAATTTTTGATTAGTGGAACAATTAGCTTCTCTGGCTTTGATTGTTTAACAATATCATGAGTCACTCGCGCCACTGCATTCCACCACTGTCATTATATGAATAAGCAATTTGTGTGGCAACAAAATAATTGCAGTCTTGACAGGCAAATTTATTATAATTAATGATAATCATTTATCCTCCCTCAGAGTGTGAGAGCTGATATTCGAATCATAATAAAACAAGTGTTTACTGCGTCCTAAGGGGGTGGAGAGAGCTGGAGCACAAGTCTGAAAGGACACCTCCCTGCACACACACACACACACACACACACACACACACACACATTAAGAGAGTTTATGAAGGCTCCCTCTAGGGCTTCATGTTTTATTTCACCCCTGCTTTCACTCACTGATTTGCCCTTTGTGGCTGAACGTTGTGTTGGAGGAGTTGTTCAGAGCCAGAGCAGAGAAACTCTGGAGAGATTTGCAGCTGATATCTGAAATGTGATGTCACACCATTTCCACATTGCACACAGCATTCCCGAGGCGGGCAAAAACGAGGGGGGAAAAGGTTATGTTCACAGCAGTAACTTCCACTTGGGATGTGGGAAGGAGCTTTTTTTTCAAAATATTCGGAATGTGATTCTGAATTGTACAATGTATGTAGTATGTGGAACTTCTGCCGTGTTGTTACAATTGCAAAAGTCTCAGAAAATGAAGAGGATATGACCTTGTGACCAGTCATGAGCTCTTATTTATCAGGGTTTTTTACTGCC